CACGCACACACACTCCCGCGCGTGCACCACGTGTGTGCACCACTTTTAAGTTCATGTCCTCGTCCACTGTTCTCCTAGTTGATGTTTGCGAGGGGTCACCCACCGAAGTGCTCATTAGTGGATGTGTGAAGACCGTCATTCCTTTCGTTTTTCGTTCTTCCTTTACTTATTCCTTCCGTCTTTCCTTTCGTTCTTTCGTTCGTTATTTATTTCTTTCCTTCGTTCTTCCTTTCTTTTGTCCTTCCTTCATTGCTTCCTTCCTTTCTTTCGTGCCTTTCCTTCTTTCCCTCTGCGGTCCCTTCTTTCTTTCTTTCTTTCTTTCTGACGTGCCTTTCTCTCCTTCGTCCCGAAAATAAACACATAGAAACCCGCCAACGCTCATGTCTCTTGTGTCCGCAGTCTGTTGCACAGAAACTATTGTGAACACCGCAATGTCTTGGATCAAAAATGTATTCCGACATCGTATGCTAGCACCAGCAGCCGCTGTGAAGCATGTAAAGGGAAAGATGTCGGTGTCGCTATAAACAATCACTGCAGATACACAGTTAGATTGAGGTGCTCCCCCCTTCTGCTTTTTCGTGCACGCCGTGCTCGCTGTTAAACGAGCGTAAAACACAGACGCTACGGGTTCGCCACACGTGCCGGTGCCAAAGAGTGCCACTGCACACCGCTGCCTGTACTTGTACACGGGTACATTGTCTGAGCACATGCAAGTGCTTCTGGGACTGTGCCTGCCCATCGACCATGACACCCACATCGTGCTGCTTTCGTTCCAGCATCTGGTATACGCTTTCCTGTGTTGATTCGTGGACAAAGCGATGGGCGACTCAAAATCGGAAGATCTATCTTGACGAATGGGAACGGCTTGCAACCTGGAAACATCCAGGGTGTCTTTGGCAATGAGGTAGTGGACATTCACGGACTCTTGCTGGCCCATTCCTGGGCGGCTCCACTGCAGCACTCAGGTGGACCCGTGCAAAAGCAAGAACACCACCGGAAACAGGCTCCGTGGGCTCCACAACACTGCAATGCCACCAAAGGCAAGCGTCGATGGGCTCGGTCTTCAGCCTCCATTTTACGAGCGCAGGTGCAATGCAGGAAAGAAGGGCTTGTGATAGCGTTCTTACTTTCGGGCTCAGCGTAGCTCAGCTTCCATGGATCGTTCATGCTTCGAGCAAGACCTGAAGCAGCGTCCCTGGCGTCCAATGCAGCTCCGCAAAGACCACGGTCGAGCAAACCTGGACGTTGTGCGATGCAGCGCTACCCCTCTCTAGAAACATCACGATCACGCTAGAATTGATATCTCGAAGACCCAGTACTTCAGGAGGAACAGTGCTCGTTGGATCATACCGCTAGATAGAGACTCTTTCTGGACAGATTTGTGCGCCACAAAGGGTCGTGCCTGCAGGTTGAGGCCTTGTCCGCACGCCGTAATCGACAGCAAAGCCACCTGGAGAGTCCCTCCGCTCCTCTCCATCCCAAGGCCCCTCTCCGCTGAGACGGGAGCCTGCTTGGCCGGATTCGAGCGAAACTCGTTCACCAACCTGCGGAGCACGCGACCACCATTGGACCCTTGAAGCAGAGCTTTTCTCCAAGGCACTGCTCTCGCTGGTGCGAAGGAGTCTTGCCATCGATACCTTTGCTCTCAAGGCAACAGGAATCGCGTTGCGCATTGCCAAAAACAGACCAGAAGCTGTTGGAAAGCTTACGACATGATGATGTTCTGCCATACTTGCATGATAATCTATGTGTTATTCGTAGTCGGCTCGTTCCAAAAATAGACGATAGCAGAACATAATATCGTAGATGGTCAGTACAGCATGAGATGACAGAAGTTTACACATAGTATAACACAGAAGAATGTGGCAGGAGACATTTTCAACTGTTCCGCAATTGGGCTGGATGCTTAAATCCCAAGGTGATGGCAGCAGGAGCCCAGCCCTGCTGAGACATCCAGCACAGAGCAGTGAACCAAGCAAACTCATGGGCCCACTATGCGCCTCTCGAGAATGGGCCCCCGCAGATGGATACTGCTAATTCGGCTTAGTATGTTCTAATAAGCCTTAATAAGGCTTATGAAGGCCTAATAAGCAGCGTCCACAACCTTGGGCAATACGCCTTTCAAACTTGAAGCCTGAGCTGTGGCAGGCATGCGCCCCCCCAAACGATTAAGCCTTACTAAAGCTTATTAAGCTCTATTACGCACTAATAAGTCTTGGTAAAGCCTTATAAGTCCCTATAAGGCCCTATAAGTGTTTGTAAGTCCTTGTATTGTCAAGCGTGGTTTTGAGTTTTGGCGACGCAAATACTGCCTCCTGACGCCCATGACATGCTTACTACT